ATTAGTGAATGGAAAATATAAACAATTCTCAAATTAATTATGAGTTAATATTATAAGGAATATCTTTGACTTGCTAATTATTCTCACACCAGTGGTTTCATTAACATACTGCTGGAGAACTCTTTGGATAAATCGATTTCTGTTCTTTAACCATCACTCATGGGGAGGACTGACTACCAAAAAACAAGAACTTCTCAGCGAGATCTCATAAAATATTCCTCTGCACAACCCTGTAAGTGCATTTCTTTCCCTACTAGCTTTTATTCAAAAGCTTAAATATTAGAATATTAAATATTAAAATATTTAAGAATTAAAATTCATGGTGCTTTAAAATTTTTCTAATTCCAAATGATTCTTTTTAATAATGATTAATTATGGATTTATTTTAGCCTTCCACAAATACGTTGAAACATTGAGCAATATACAGTATTTCCAATTTGAATTTAACTTGCTTCAATTCATTTTCCACTTTGCAAAATCAAAATTTAATATTATTCATTTAGTCACATAACGAATACGAGCTTTCTGATGGGGTCTTAACTGAGACAGGCCTGCCTACCCAGGCCAGGCCCTTGACTTTGACACAAGCCGGTGTAAGAGAGCTTACATTGGTATGTTATTATTGCACAGTTTTTACGATCGACTTGGATTGTCTGTCACATGCATTTAAAACCCAGTGCAGATTACTTCAGAGTGCGAGGGTCGCTTGGAAGTTTTAGAAAACAGCCATTGCGGTCAGTAAGCAACCCGTTGCTCGTTTGCAGTGTTGTGTGCAATCTGTCCTGAGACCGTGGACAATAGATGGGTGTGCCGTCATCAGATGTCACACTCCTGGATCCTTTAACTTTCTCCAAGGACTTTATCAATAATCCTTGTGACGTTCTCTGTGGCCTTTCTCTAACCCAGAAGCATCCACTGTGTTTGAAAAAAGAATGAGACCACACCTGACTTTCTGCTTCTGTCTCATGAGGATGCTGTGCTAATACCCATTTATCTGAAGGTCAGGCTCTGGCAAGGGCAGCCACAGGAAGCGCAGCCACTAACCACAGAGCCTGCTAATCAGCACAAGAGACCCCGAGCTGTAAAGGCATCGCACCTTTGAATAAGCAAGACAAAAATCCTCTAAGAAATGGGAAAACCCTGCTACAATGAAGGAATTAATGGTGTGGTAGAGGCCTTTGTCTTTTTATTCTGTCCTTCTGTGCTTCTCTCTCGGAGTTTTCTTGTTTCCATCACCCCTGCTGTGTCCTGTGCTGGCCTAGACCGACTTGGAAACACACTTCTTTTCTTAGTGCTACTGAAAGAATTGAACATTTTCAACAGAAACAGAATAAACACTAAACAGAAAAAAATACCAAAAAAAAAAACACCCACCAAACAAACAAAAGAGATACAATCACCTTGAAAATTTCTCAAACTACAGGTTTTGGAATCCAGGAAAACCAAATGCTCACCATTCCGTGACCAGTGCAGGCCTGGGGGCTGCTTTCTTCCCAGTGTTTCAGATCCCTCCTGTCGAATGGTCCCATTTCAACCTGAAGGTCAATGTAGGTGATGTCTTCTCATTCCTCTTAGTTACTTCTCTCAGGAAAAGAGATTGGGCTAAGAACACAACCACTCGGTCTGAACCCTACAGCCTCATGCTGCACTCATCTGACGTTCGTGTCTTGACTCTCTGCCTCAGTGGCCCTGGCAGAACGGCAGCCCCTGTCTCCTCTGGCCTCCACAGCCCACCCTCTGGCTGGTGGACTTGAAGAGGAGACGTGTTCCAGGTCCTCCTGAGGACTGGGGAGGACCTCACTGAAGTCTCCCCATTGCCTTTTGCCCAGCTCTGTAGCAGGATGTGGGCGGCACAGCAGGCCCTCTAGGCAGAGTTCCCCACTGCCTCTCCCTGTGTGCAGCCCCCCTGACCTTCCTGAGGGACTCTGCTGCCCCCTCCCTCCCCTTGTCTCTCTCCAGCCTCCTGTGAATGTTGGCCCGCCAGCTGGTTCTCTCTCCTAACTTCATCACCCCACATGGGGCTCAAGGACACGCCTAGATGGTTTCACAGAGTGACAATCACTCTGTCCTTAACATTTCTCAAAGCAATCTGGCCATCAAGTTCCTGAGGGGACCGTCAAAGCCAGGTCCTCCTTGCTGTGAGGAGGGTAGGGAAGGAAAGAGTGAGAGCAACACACAGACAGACATACCTCTAACCTCTCCACACTCTCTTCCCGCCCCAACTCCCCGGAAGCAGGGCTGGGGGAGTCTGTGCTCTACCTGCTTACTTTTTTAATTTTTTCTTCACTTTTTTCTGTTTACCTGGGTGGAAACTTTCTTAAATTTTTTTTTTTACAAAGCAAATCAAAGTACCAGGGAGTGGGGCCCAGGTATCAGAAATGTCAGAAATGGTTTAAAGCCCCTTGGGTGGTGCTGATGCCTCAGAGGGCTGGGACCACTGCTCTAGAAACACAGGCACTAGTAGGCTGGGAGGGAAAGAACCATCAGTTAACACCTCGCACAGCATCCTGCCACGAAATGCAGACGCCCAGGCACAGAAAGGCTAGGAAACTGGCTGTAGCTTACACAGTTAGTAGTTTTCAGTGTGAGAATCGAATGGACCCCAAAGCCCATGTTCTCCGTGTGTGTGGTGTGTGTGTAACGTTCGTGAGCCAGAGCGGCATACGTTCTTTGTCCTTTCCTGTTCCCTCTCATACAAGTGACTGTTGACTATGCCTTCCCTTCGGACGTGTATGATTCCCACTGCATCCCCACCTCTGCAGTTCTGCAGGAGTGAACTGGAGCTGCATTAACGTAACCACCTACCCATTGCAGGAGTCGTTACAAAGACAAAGAACAGAGGACGTAGATGACCTTTTGACTAAGCTTCAAAGAAGTTAAGAAAATTCGCATCATCAGTGACAAGGAAAAAGGAAGGGCATAACAAGAGTCCCCCTTGGCTAAACCATTATTTGGGGGCTAATGCAACATACCTGGTTAATTTCTTCATCCTTCAAGATTCAGTGGAGGCAAACATCTTCAAAGAGATGTTCCTCAATCTCTTCAGCAGACTGAGCTAGGAGACCTTCCTCACTGCTACCCGCACGCTGGGCTTACCCCTGACACAGCATTTAGCATAGTGCACTGCTACATAAAGCATCTAACTCTCTTCTCCCCAGACCATGGACTCCCTGGGTAAAAAGGAACAGGCCCTTCACTATCTCCTTAACATCTAACACAGTTCCCGGCACAGCGTATATTCAGTAAGTTCTTCTGAATGAATATCAATATTTTATTGTTATAAACAATGATAAAAGATATTAAGGGGGTGGTAGCCTAAAATTTTATAAATCAGAAAAATGAGTCAGAGTTTGGATGAAAGTTCGCTGACTCAAGCTGGAAAGTCATTGACTATTTTTAGATCTTTCAACAGCTGGGAGTCAAGCCTAACCTGGTGTTTAATTTCCAGGGTCGGGGGAGGGGGGGACCAGAACAACTGAATAGACTCTAAAACTGATTCAATCACTGGCTCTAATTTGTCACTTGGTGCATCCATGGTCACTACCACCAAAATCCATGTAAAAAGCCCTATGCTTGCTGTTCTATACAGCAATTTTAATGTCAATGATTACAAATCAGGAATTTATTGAACATCATAAAAGAAACACTGATGTATTTTTACACGTGCCAGGAAATCATGTGTGTTCCTTCTCTCAAACAAAGATTTAAGAGTCCATTCATTAAAAAAAAGAGTCCATTAATGTTTATTAAGTCTGTACTTTGACAGTAACTTGAGCATGGATAAAATAGAACCTACTGGTGCATTCATTATTTATTCAATAAGGTTTTTGAGCTATGAATTTGCATAAAGCTCTTTGGTAGGAAATATGGGGGCTCACTATGGAACTGTCACTTTACCCTGACAGATTGTACTATCTCTTTTAAGAAAGAAAGAAAAACAACTTTAAAAAAGGCAACCCAAGACCAAATGTAAATAAATAGTCCATATCATTTTACAGATGAAGATGGTGTAGATGTGGAGAAAAAGGGGAGCTCTATAACAGCTAAAGGCCTGAGCGGGAGAGACACCAGCTGATCTCTTCCTCCTGGCCCTGCTTACTAGTCACAAAGCCAGGCCAGGCTTGGAACAGAACTAGAAGCTTCTAGTCTCTTCTTGAAAGTGTGATTGCTTCCCCAACCTACAGACATGGCCTATGGGTTTTGGGATTAGAAAATATATACACAGCTGCGTAGTTATTTGCAAGTTCCATATTTGTGATTTTACCTCCTCACTGAAATGTATGTATGACCCCCAAATCAATACAGCACTTCATGGTCATTCCCAGACGTGGGCAGCTCCCTGAAAAACCTGGGTGGACAGACACAAACCCTCCCAGCAGAGGTCAAACAAGGCTAACCTCTACCTTCTTATTTCAGCTCTCATACCGTAAAGTGCCATTTTCACAGACTACAAATACACCATTTTTGGTGCTTTTGGTGCGTGTGTGTGTGTGTGTGTGTGTGTTATTTAAAATGGCCTGGAAACACAGTGCTGAAGTGCTTTCTAGTGTCCCAGGAACAAAATACCTAAGTTTAAAAAGCTTAATAAATTTCATGCAGTATGAGTTCTGATGCTGTTGGCCCTGAGCTCAATGTTAATGAGTTAACCAACAATATATGTTAAGGAAGCTATCTTTAAACAGAAACACACATAAAACCAGGATATATATTGGTCAGTTGACAAAAATGTTGCGTCCAGGGGGTGACAGAAACCGCACAGTATTTCCACCAGGAGCAATAATCGTTCAGTATTGTAAATCCTCCCTCCCTCTTCTCTCCCATGGTGTTTGTCTTGCTGCAACCCAGTTCAGGGCCCGCTTGAGCCGGGTCAGGCATTTATTTGGCCTGAGCACGCGCCCTGAGCCAGGAGGGGGCGCCGTCCGCCCAGTGCTCCGCGTGGCCGGCAGGTGGCGCCCTCGGCGGGCTTTTCCCCAGCGCGGTCGAGGCCAGGTGGACGGGCAGGGGCGGAGGTAACGAGAAGCGGCCGGCGGTGGCTGCCCGAGGCTCCTCTCCCCCCGCACGCAGAGCTCGCGACTGGGTGCAGCGAGAAGGCGCCCTGGGCCGGACCAGCTGCGCTCTGGACTCGGCCGCCGCCGTCTGGATCTCCGCGAGCAGGTCCCCGCCGCGCTCAGCCCGAGCTCGGCCACCATGGAGGCGCAGGCACAAGGTGAGTGGTCGCCGATCGCCCGAGGGTCAGCTCCCCGGCGCGCAGAGAGGCGCTTCTCCTGCATCCCCAACTTCTCGGACAGAGCGGGCCGGGGCCAGCCTCACGGGCCCGCCACTCTGCTCCCACCCGCGTCCGCGGGATGATTCCTGCTCCCCAAACTCAGGCTGTGCGGTGGGGCCGGGGCGGGTGAAGAAGACGGTACGTGGAGAGGTTCCTCCGTAGGTGATGCGCCCACGGCATGTTCTCGCCCCTTTCCCCAGCCGGTCGTCCGGCTTCCTGAACCTCGCGGGGACCCCAGGACCTGTTGGACGGGGTCGCGGACCCTCGTTTCGTTCCCTTTCCCGCGGGGAGTGGGGAGGGAGCGCGAGGTCCGCGCCTTGGGCTCGCGTCCTGCGCGCAGCTCCCAAATTCCGGGCTGAGCGCGGGGCGCGCCGAGGTGGGGGCTCCGCGGAGACCCCGGTCTCCCGGACACGCTGGCCTCTCGGGAACCGGCCTTCCCAGGCGAGGAGAGCGTTGCCTGCCCGCTGATCTGCAGCCGGACCCACAGGTGCGCCCTGGTTTCCCGCGATCGGGGAGCTCCCTCTGCCTCCCCAAGCGCGCGGGGCCCCGCCGGTCTGGTCGCCCAGCTCCCCACTCCTGGGGCCGCGGACTGGAGGAACCCGCGACGGCTTCGCGAAGGGCACCCTTATGTCTGGGGTCACACTCGGACCGGGGTTTGGGAAGCCCGATGGACTCATGCAGAACGAGAATAAACGGCTGGAAAGGAGCAGAGGTGGAGGATGTGGAGCAGGAGGCTGGGAGGAGGAACGCTGATTCTGGGGTCTGTCTTGGTTGCAGCGCCAGGAAGGGCTGCGTTGAGGTCAGCTTTCTGCAGCCTTTAAAACAACCATCGCGCCTTTCTTCTACACCACCGTGTAGGGAATTCAGTGATGGCTTTTAAGATAAATAAATAAAGAGGTTCATGACCCTGTGCGCTCGCCCTCTAGGGGCAGAAGTGTCCCGAATGAGAGCGGTTTGGCGGCACCGGGGCCAGGAGCCATCCCCACGGGTTTGCTGCCAGGATTACAATGGTCTGAACAGCGCGAACCATTCTTGTTTGTTCCGTCAGCCAAGTTCCTGTCCATAAAACTGCCCATTATCTAAATAAGAAAGGAGAATTCACCCCCTCCCCCGTCCCCGCCCGAGGCTGGGCAAATTCAAAAGCAGAGTCAGCTCGGAGGCCTTCCCTCCTGAATGGAAGCAGGTGGGAACTTTCCAACCTGACCTGCAGATGAGGATTATTTGGAGAGTTTAAAATACCGGCCCTGGCGAGCCCCGGACCAACCAAACCGGCCTCTCTGGGGCTGGCCATGGGTATGTCTGAAAGCTTCCCGGTCCTGCTATTACTCAGTGAGCTGGAGCAAAGCTAACCCCGAAGACCCGTGGTGTTGCAGGCTGGAACCGCGGGTACCTGGCCTGCTTCACCTGAGAGATCTACCTACCAGACATGCCGGTGCTTTTCTTAGCCCAACACCGTGCAGGAGAGGCAGCCACAGGTGTGATTCCTGCTTCCTGAAGTCTACAGTAGAGGAAGAGACAGACACTGCTCTGAGAGTTATGTGATAAATGTGAAATCGCAGCTTCGTTTCTGACGCGGAAAGAGGGAGCGCCTGGAAGACCTTAGGCCTGGCAGGTGCCAACCAAAACAGTGAAGTTCGTTCCCTGTGCCCGTTTCTGGTCTTTGTGCTTCGCATGTGTTGGCTCATTTCTTCTTCACAGTAGTCCCAGGAGGTAGGTGGTGTTCCCGTGCCCCTCCCACAGAGAGGATGTAAGTTCCCCGTAAACCAAGTAGGTAATGAGGGGCAGAGGTGATGCTCAGTTCCCCTTCCTGCTCAAAGCCACCACCTTTAGAGGAAAGATAAAACCTCAGCCCCCTACTCTCCCCGCCCTCTCTGCCACTCTCCCCTTCCCCGCATGAGGGGGTGGGACCTGGGTGGGTAAAAAGGCGAATGCAGTATGCCTAGGGACACTTGAATTAGGGTGATGGTCAGCCACGAAGAGAACAGTGAACAGATTTAAAAAACATTTAGGAAGAAAAGAAAAATAACTGATTAATATGAAGGAGGGTGGTGTACTTAAAAATTTTTTTTTATTGATTTTTAGAGAGAGAGGAAGGGAGAGGGATAGAGAAACATCTATGAGAGATTAGCTGCCTCCTGCCTGCCCCCTACTGGACAACAAGTCACAACCCTGCTGGGAATTGAACCGGGGTGACCTCTTGGTTCATAGGTCAACGCTCAACCACTGAACCACACCAGCCGGGCCCCCATGTTATACTTTTACAACCAGATGAATACCTCTTAAATTCTTATTTTCCCAGTACTTCACATTTTTCATTTTAAGCCCCCCCCCTTTTTTAAAGTTCTTTAAGAAGAAAACTATTCACAAAGCATTTATAGTGTATATTAAAGAGAAAATCTTTCCACTTGGCATATTTTTCTGGCTAAGTGAAGTTGACTCTTAGATTTTAAGAGTCCTTTGTGCAGGTTTGTGTCATCAGCACAATGTTTGTTAGAATTACCCAGATTGAGGATGGCTTATCTTCCTGCCTCTTGATCTGGAGAGAACAGAGATGAGGGAGGTTACGTAGGCAGCTGCTGATGCGATGCCTCCTGTACCTTCCAGAGACCAACGGGATGCTGTAGGCACCATTTGCACATGTAGTTCAAGAAAGACAGCAGCCAGTCCCAGAAACTGCTCCATAAGTGAACTTCTGCAAATAGATCACTTAACTTTGTAAAAGAAAAGATCACTTTTGGTAAAACAAGGGAAGTTGGTAGAACAAAAACATTCAGAAGTGGACTTATGAGCAACACGATGCTGGAGAATGCTGGAGAACAGTGTGGAATGGAGGCCCACAGGATGCGAGCATTCCCAGTTGCTTTCCTGGTACTCGAGAATGTTATGATGTATTGGAGAGGATATTTGGTTAGGAATGTAGCATTTTCCGGAAACATGTGGTAGTGCTTTAAAATGAAAAGTTCCTGATCTTTTAAAACTATCTTCCAATATTTCATTTTTCTAGGAAATAATGTTGCTTTTTGTCCTTCCCAGTGTCTTTAATGTTGAAAGAAAAATCTTCTTTCCACTTAACCCCGGTATATATTCAGATTAATAGCTGTATTAGTTTCTTGTGACTGCTGTAACAAATTACTACACAGTTGGTGGCTTACCACAACAGAAATTTATCCTCTCACAGTTCTGGAGCTGGAATTCCGAAATCACTCTCACTGAACCCAAATCAGGGTATCAGCAGGGCGTCCCTTCCCTGGATGCTCTAAGAAAGAATTTGTTTCTTGCAGCTTCTGGTGGCTGTCGGCTGCTTTCATTGGCTGCGTCACTCCAGTATCTGCCTCCGTGTCCCATTGCCTTCTCTGCTGTCTGTTTCAGATTTCCCTCGGCCTCCAGTTTCTAAGGACACTTGTGATTTCATTTAGAGCCCACCTGGATCATCCAAGATCATCTTCCCATCTCCAGATCCTCAACTTAATCACACGGACAAAGACCCTTTTCTTACATAAGGTGGCATTGATAGGTCCCAGAGATTAGGGCCTGATATACTTGGGGGCTGTTGTTCAGCCTGCTACAGTAACTACTTTTTAGATTCACACATGCTAGTCTCAGGGTTCTCAGAAATCCATGAGTGACATACAGTAATACGTGTCCGATTAATCCTGCCTGATTGCAAATTCCATTAAAGTGAAAATGTCATGCATACCTTACATTATGCTTTGCTCACAGGACATTGACTTAGCCTCATCTTGTTCCAGGAAGAACTTACGGCAGTTTATACAGAAATATGAAACACAGCAAGATAATGTAAATTAGAAATAGAGGAAATAAAGTAAATGAGGATAAGGACAGCAGATGCAGCAAGGAATGAAGCTCTAGTAAAACAAATGCAATTCTATCCTTTTTGTTAATATTACATAGAAAACAAATTCTTGCTTTGTGAAAAAAAAATTTTTTTGTTTCAAAACAATAAAATAATCCTTCCTTCCCCTGCTGAATAGTAATAGGCAAAATCTCTTATAGTGTAGGGATCAGATTACCCCCACAAAATAATTCTTCTGCAAATTTCAGTTAATTAATTATAAACCTTCAACAATGGGAGCTAGGTGTTATACATTTTGATTTATGATTTTTAAATCATAAATCAGAGCTACCTCCTATTGTTTTATTTTCCTGTTAAATAGAAGTTTTAAAGTAGTAGTGATGCATACATAAGATGAAGTCAGTCATTTTCCACACATCCTATTGTTGCAATTAAAATTCTTGTAAAATCTGATCATACAAATGATAGATATTATAGTATATGGGAATCTATTTTGAATTGCCTTCCCTAATGTACACCTTGTTTGCTTGATACTCTTGGTGGGCAGAATCTGAAAAGTTGCTTTATAAGATTGATAAGCAAGAGGGTTCATTTTTGTGGACTAGGATAAGATTTGGTACTTGGTGAGCGAAAGTAAATAATAAATGAATACTTCCTCAAGTATTGATTAGTCAAATAAATATATCAACAACTACATCGATAGTCATATCGATGACTATAGTAATAGCAAAGATTCGACAACCACTGAATGTTGAGAGACAGAGGGACAGTGTTTAAGATTCCAGACCAGTCAAACTGCCTGGATTTTAATCCTGCCGATGTCACCATTAATATGACCCTGAACAAGTTACTTCATTTCTCTGGGCCTTGGTTTTTCCATATGCAAAGTGAGGGTAATAATAGCGTTTACATCATAGGATTGTAATGAGGGTTTAACAAGTGAATACAATCAATGTTCTTAAAACAGTGCTCAGCACCGGGTAAGTACTATATAAATGCTTGCTGTTGCTTTTAGTAGTACATGCCAAGAACTTTACATGCATTATCTTATTGAATCCTTATGCGAACATTTTGGAATAGATACCATTACTTTTAACTCATTTATAGACAGGGAAATGGAAGGTCA